CCCTCCCTGACCTGTTTTCAGCCTGATTAAGATATCTAAGGTCGTTTTAGAGCCATATTTCACATTTATTGAATTATTGGTAAATTAATTATGAAATACTAACGGAAGGTGGCGAACGGTGTGATAGGAAACAAACCCCGGCAACGTAGGAAGCAGCTCTCACGGACGGGAGTTTACGTTTAGCTAACTAGGGAATACTTCGGCCAAGGCCAACCAAGTGAGTGGCCTTACTATAGGATAGGCTAAATATTGTTTGATTTATGATGATGTATGAGTATGACGTTGTGTTGTGATGTATGCTAATTGTACGTTAGTTATGTTTTGATGCATGACGTACATGTTATATTTGATGCACTTAATGGCTTCTATGATGAGTATGATGTATGCATGACGATGTTATTAACATGATGATGTTTTTCATGTTGAACATGCCTTACGATGTTGTTTGCCATATTGCATCATGTCGTTAGATCAACATATGACACAACCCTAAGAGTATGAAAATAATATTAATGTAAATATCCACGAGCATGTGTTACATAGTGTAACCAAGAGATGAGACTAAAGGGTTGTGTCAGAAGAGATGTATAATTGGACTTAGAGGGATCTCATGCATATTGTATGTTCATAAGCATCGGGCTACTTCCCCTAGAGATGATGAGTGTGGACGCGCACCGTATGATGAGCGCGAATGCGCACAGGTGCGAATGCACACAAATGAGGGTGTTCATAAGGTGCATGACACTATGGGGTTTCTGCTGACCTCTGGATGTCGCTACATATTAGCTTGACCAAAGGGTCCAAGGGGTGTGCGAGCGCCTTGGGGATTCACTCTCGCACGTGTGAGTCATTTGTAGGGAAGTACTACACATCCAATTTGTTCGAGACTAGAGGCCACCCTTAAGATGATTAGAGATAGGTCCCTAATTCATGATTGCATGTGTTTGCATTAGCATGGCCCGTATAGTGGGGTCACTTACTGAGTATTTCTTCAGGTAAAGGAAAGGCGCCCATGTACGGTTGACGGCGGCATCGTGATCAGAGATTGTGGCACATGCGTAGGATAGTTGCATATCTAAAATTCCTAGTCTTGGTTAGGATAAGGTGTTTGCATTTCATTTATTTAAATTATTTAATTTGTAATTGTTTTATCTTATTTTGAATTCCAGCATGATGTTTGAAACACGTAAGTCCGACAGTGTTTTCTAACGTTTTAACGTATTCTGAAGTTTTAAATTTTTTCGCTAATAAAGATAAGCATTCTTAGAGTTATATTCTGCATTAAAGATGAGCATGAGACGATAGTGACGGCTCTAGATATGTGAAAATTTAGGGTCGTTACATGAAAAGTAAGGAATGAGTACAAAGACTCAGTAAGCAGCCTACTTGTAGGCTCTTAATCATGTCCTTGATATGCTAGGGTACCACAATCTTTCTTTTCTTATTCTTATTCTTGTTGCAAGTACTTTGGCCCTCTAGTTTGACTTGTGGGTTCTTATCATGTTTTACCCTAAGGACCTTGGTCCTTGACTCTGAAACCCTGGTCATCCTCTACGGGCCTTAGTATTATGGTTCTTGGCTAATGTCCTTAGAACTTGGATCTTGATCAATGTTCTAGTCCTTGATCTTTCTCTTGTTCATGGTTCTTTCTAGGCTCTTGTTATGTTTCTTAATTCATTCTCCAAGACACTCCCCTTAGGATTTACGGTACTAGTCATAAATGTGTCAACCTGTGTTCGAGGCTTTATGTGTTCCAAGTGACATAGTCTTAGTACCTACACTCAAGGCTTCATGCGTTCCAAGCAGTGTGGTCTAAGTCATGAGCATAATGTACCGTGGGAGGTCTTAGGAGGTTCTTGATTCTTGACTAAGGTAACTTACTCTCTTCTTGTTCCATTGTGGCCCTAGATTACTCCTCATGATAGACCATAAAGGTCACGTGATCAATGCATGCATGAATATGGCATAAACCATAAAGGTCACATGACTGATGCATGCATGAACATGACATAAACCATAAAGGTTTCCTGATCGGTGCATGCATGAACATGGCATCCAGAAAATCTTTTGGTACCCATAATATGGTGCAGGACATCTCATCACATGGTGCAAGAATGTTAGGTAATACTCTAAGCATGCCTGTGACAACTTATGTCTAGGAAGCATGCTTAGATTACCTAGTATTCTTGAGTTTCTAAATCTAAGAACCTTGGTCCCTTATCCTTAAGTAGTACCTAGCATTCTTCTTGCTTTGGTAGTTATAAGGTTTGTTTGGTTTTATTCTTTGTTCTCAATCTTGTAAGTTCCTAAGGTTCATAATTCCTTGAGGCATAAGTTGTCACAGGTATTCGTAATCATATAAACTCATCATAATTCCTTGAGGACCCTTTTTCTATTGTCCTTGACTCCAAGGTTCACTAGTCTATGCTGATGGTTCCACGTCCTTATCTCGACAAGCTTGCTTGTCCATATTTGAGGACGACTTATAACACGATCACACAATCCTGATAACTACGAGCTACCATTAGGCTTGGACCTTCCCATAAAAGTCCAAAGTAATTTGTTATCTCTTGTGCGATCTTTCATGAAGAATATCCTTCACCCCATCATTCATAAGTGGCATGTCACACACATCGCGCTCTTGGAAGTCCATAAAATTAAACCTAGCTCCTTAAGACTCCAACCAAAACCTTGCAGCCATGACCTCCATAACTCCATTTTCAAGGTTGGTGAATCTTATCTCTCGACTTACAAACTTAAATAAACTTACTCGAGGTAATGGTATGCTTGAGGGCTACATAATTCCTATGGTGGTTGTCTTTTTCTAAATGAACAATATTATATGAGCGTACTATGTGGCCTACACTGAGGTATGATCTATTATGTCTAGGCTTACTACGTGGTCTCCACGGATGCATGCCAATTAATTTCCTACACACGGCCCACACGTGTGAGTATGGACCCACAAGTCGGTTCACACACCTCCTAGGCCCCTTTTCCTGTCGAATGAGCATTCTCTAGTAGCTCTTGATGTCAAACACCCATTAGAAGTAGCGGTTATCACGACAGCATTATGTCAAACATAGTGATCGTTCTCCTATCTAGTAGTGTATACGTCCGTACCCTCGTGAAGGAATAGAGGTATTTCCCAATGATTGAGAACATAATAATGCATGAGGTCCCAACATTTTTCCTTTTTCATTATTGTTTAATACAACTCCACTAGCAATTTGTTCATATCGTATCATTTTTCATATCATTCATGTTGGGTTGTATTTCATGCTATTTCTAGGTGATTCTGACAACCAACCGAAAACAACTTAAGATTACAAGCATATTGTGATGTCGAACTTCTAGACGGTCTATTTTCTGGGTTCTACATTTCCCTTGGAAATTCAATTATTTCTTGGAAGCAAGCCAATGTGTCTAGATAATCAACAGAAGCCGAGTATCGAGCTATGGTAAATACTTGTTTAGAGTTAACTTGGTTAAAATACATTTTTCAAGACTTGAAAGTTCCACTGTCCGAACCAGCATTATTGTATTGTGATAATCACGCAGCATTACATATAGCACTCAATCCAGTTTTTCAAACGTATGAAATACATTGAAATAGATTGCCATATAGTTCGAGAAAAGTTACACGCTGAAATCATCAAACCATGTTATGTTTTGACTAAAATGCAATTGACAGATGTCTTCACTAAAGCTTTGGGAAGACATCAATTTGATTTTTTGAAAGATAAGTTGTGTGTGATTGACATACACTCTCCAACCTAAGGGAGTATAATAATTAGTTATTAATATATCTTAGATATTCGTAATCAGTTAAATAAGTGAACTCAACGAAAAGGAAATGACACCTCAACAACTTAGATAGTCAGAAAGAATCCAAAAGTCGAATCCAAATGCCAATATAACTATTATAAAAGATAAAGTTAAAGAGCTAGAGACATATGAATAATCATCACAAAATATGGCTTGGCAGTGGAATGGAGAAATAAATTATAGCCTTAGAGCAAGACCAAACTTGGAAACTAGGAGATATCATACCTATCTCTTGCAACTGGATTTACAAAATAAAATGTCACTAAGATGGATTAACTGAGAGATATTATATGACTCAGATTATAGCTTTAGGGTTCTCTCAATAATATAGACTTGACTATGATGAAACGTTTAGTCTAGTGGCGAAGATCACTATATATAGATTCCTCCAACACTTGCACTTAGTAAAGATTGAAAATTATGGCAGAAAGATAAGAAGAATGTTTTCTTGCACGAAAAGTTAGACAGGGAGATCTATATGGATCAACCAAAGAGATCTCAAAATGGAGTTGGAGTCATTAGTTTGTACATGCAAAGTCCAAAGAACCCTCATTTGGATGCGACGCTCAACATATCCTGCAATATGCCAAAGGATATCACGATACCCAAAGATCAAGCATCAAGTATGTGTCAAGTTCTGTTCGGGAATAATTTCTTAGTGTAGAGAGAGAAAACCATTATCATTGTTAATTACAGAAGTGGAGTACAGAGCAACGGTTGGAGTAACTCAAGAAAGTACATGGTTGAAACTCTTAACGGAGGATTTGCACTTGAAAATTGACTATCCAATACCACTTCATTCCGACAATCGATTTGCAGTTCGTCTAGTAGAAAATTCAAGGTTTAATGATAGAACAAAGCATGTGGAAGTGCATTACCATTTTATTTGAGAGAAAGTGTTAGAGAAAGATACAAATGACCAAGTGACAAACTTGTTTATAAGAGAGCTGACAAATATGAAGGCTTTCGTTGTCAACTCAATAGTGTACAACGAATGAGAACTAATATTGAGGGAGAATGTTAAAATATCATCACTATCCTAACAGTAGGATCAAACTCCATAATTATACGAGTCCATTATCTATATATTTTAGTAAAGTGATTTAGGTTTGTTAAAGATTACTCCCTATTTTAGTAAAATGATTATAGGAGTCCATGAGAAAGGCCCCACATAAAACAAGACAACAATATCTTTTATTAGCTCCATTTCCACAACTTAAAAAGCATATGTCCATGAGATAATAAAATTATTACAATAATGTTGGTAACAACCAGCAAGAAACCATACTAATATATCGGATACTTCACAACCTGTGCTCATGTCAGGTCGAGGTACTACAGTTTAAACCAAAGCTATTGCATCGATTTCGATCTTGGCATTTTTGGGCAACGCTCCAACCTGAAATGTTGACCGAGCTGGAAAAGGTTGCTCGGAAAAGTCTGTAAAAAAGACCAAGAACTCCTCTCAGTTTCATTTTCTTCACAAAAAAAATTACAAAAAAATGAAAGAAAAGAACTTACATCGAGCATAAATTTCATTCACTAATGCAAAGTCTGCTACATCAGCCAGCCTGCAACAAAGAATTGTTGTAAAAATGTAGGTTTCAAGACAAAAAAAAAAAAAACACACCATTTTCCAAAAAAAACCTAAAAAATATACGAAAAAGGATTACATACATAATAGTTGTCTTAACCACTCTATTATAGTCTGCACCTCCAGCTCTCAATATTGCACCTATATTTCTGAGGGCCTGCATAATCATATTTCATTACATTTTTTTTTTTTTTTTTTTATAGAACTTTTGGGCCTACAAAGCACACCAACATCTAATGAAAAAAAATAATAAATAATACCTGCTCGGTTGGTCTCCAACATGATCAGAAATTAATTCTCCTGTCTGCATTAAACCATAAACACACACTCAATTAGATCTCATGGAAAGTGCATACACGACCACCAATTCTAAAACACGAATGTAAAGTAGAACGTATCAATAAATAAAATCATAAAGTGATGAAGCTACCTCGGGAATCAGACCTAGGGAGCCAGACACAAATATAAAGTTGTTGGCAATGATGCCTTGAGAATATGGCCCCAATGCTTCTGGAGCCTCTTTGGTTTCAATAGGTATGATATCTGTCACATAAGATATTGATGGCGGTTGATATTACGATGGGAAAATATTTGGAAGGAAAAAATAAATTTTTACTCATAGCCTTTTTTTTACTTTCACTCCATTTATGTGGTTAAGTGTTAATAAAAAATTCAAAGCTTTTAAGCATTACAAGTCCATCAGCATTTAAGCAAAATTAGACTCATAAATGTCAATGGCTAATATCAACCTAATTCGATTATTAAAAAACATTATATATCTCCCATCTAATCAAAAGATGGAAAATCCCGTCTCAGAAAAGGAAAAATTTGAAAAACATATTGTTTGAACAAAAACATTTTGTTTGAACAAATTTTCTCACGAACCAGGGAGAGAGAGAGAGAGGGGAAGTAAGTGAGGGCGTAGTACCACGACACTTGGAAATGGCATGGCATTTGAAGGACATGTTGCGGTTTGAAATAGATGGAATAGAAGAAGGGCGGCGCCACAAGGAGACGGAGGCGCCGACAGAGGGAGTGACAGTGCGCGGCCGTGAAATGACGTTGGTGGCCGGGATTTGGAAGCTGTTTGCTGAGCAGTAAGCCATAGGTTTACAGTTTAATTGGCAGTGAGTGAGTGGATGAGAGTGGAGCTTTCATTTACGCACCTATTTATTGAGATTGAGGAGGATCACACCCCAATAATTAAAATTATTTATTTAATTTTGGGATTTTTATATTTGAAGATTAAAATACTGAAACGTGGGGAGGAACCACTCTTAATTTTGGTTCAAAATCAAAGATAAGAAAGAATCTTTTAACTTAAACTAATTTTGTTTCCTCATTTCCCTCAATGCATCGATTTCTGGTCCTTACTTTGCCTTTGCCTTATCTCATGTTTATACTCGATTCATGCACGGATTTCTCCTCTACAAATTTCTTATAATAAACAATTTAGAAACGCATTAAATGATAAACGTGAGAAATTGGGTTGTTGTTTAAGAATTGTCATATAAATAGAATTTATATCTTTTGCCATGTGAAAACATAACCCCTAAGTCAAAGGTTTCAATTAAATAAATTTTTATATAAATGAATCTGAGTATGATTATTATTATTTTTTTTTTTTTCTTTCTTCATAATAATAAAGATTTTTTATTTTTATTTTTATTGATACGAAGAGGGTGATGGTGATGCCGAACATGTGATATGGAGCCTGATGCCTATTTACGGTAAAAATCCGGTAGAAATATATATAGTAGATATTTTGTAAAGATTTGGTAGGATTCGGTAGATATTTAGTAAATTTCTTTATCTATATATATATTTGGTAAAGATTTGTAGATTATATTCAGTAGATGGCTAAATCTGTCAAAGCTTTGTTTAGTAAAGGGAAGCCATCTATATACACCATTAGACGTGCCTTCCATTAGACGTGCCTTCTTTTCTCATTCTCTGTATTATATCTGTAACGACCCGGGAAAGAAAGAAAGAAAAAAGAAAATATTATATATATATATATATATATATATATATATATATGATAAATGAAAACGAGAAAA